AGATTTAAAAAAAAAAAAAAAAAAAAAAAAAAAACTAAAAGAATCATCATCAAATCATCTTCAGGCAAACTCAATGGAGGAAATACAAAGATCAATAACCCTCGATCCTAGGCCAGGGTTTGTGGTTAAGACCAAGATACTAGAATCACGAGAACCCTTCAAGTACGGGGTTTCTACAAAAGTATTTATCAATGTTTGTCACGATAACCAGGTGCCACGACCTGCCATTGCATTTGATCCTAGTATAGTTTTCCCCTTAATCATTAAGAATGAATGGGAGATACCATTGATCGTGTCGAATGAGAAGCAAGACCGTGATAAGAAGGGACAGCCGAGTTTTGTCTATGACTGTTGCATAAATGAAAAGAGTTTCCAGTGGTGTCAAACTAACGTTGATTTGAGATCAATCTTGATTGAATGGTGCATTGAGGCAGTTGAAATGATGTACGAGTTGACATTGGAGCGCGAGTCCAGTATACCCAAGATGCTAAGCAAGGGAGAGTTATCCAAAACCCAGATTAAACAAAGCGAATTGACCGAAGGTGGATTACAAAAAAAATTGCAGCAATTGAAAGCAAATGAAACCTTGGGATTGATAGAAGAACTCAAGGACGAAAACTCAAACGAGGAAGACCCTGGCCAATTGCCAGACTTGATGAATATCAATAACAATGGTCAAAACAAACCTTTGATTGAAGAGATCAACGACATGAAAATTACTGAAGCCCCCAAGGCTCCTAAAGTCGAGCAGAAAATTGAATCCGCCATGAAACAGAGAGTCCACTTCGTACTAAGTTACCCACCTTTATACAACACCGACAAACAGCTAGTGACGGTGCAATCTGAACAATTGGACCCAACAAAAGTGAAAGCCTGGTTGGACCATGACCAGTTGGTGATTGAAAACAGCAATCCAAACCAGTACTTTGAAGGCGGCAGCTCAAACAAGCTTCTTGTCCCCATCAAAGCATCCAATTCTACATCCGCTAAGTGTTTCCACCTCAAAAGCTCCCATACTTTCAAGTTCTTCATATAAACTGTTAGTCTCATCGGTCAATGTTACTAAATTCCGTGATTCCGTGATTCCGTGATTCCGTCTTAAAACGCGAACAAGTTTTTTCTATCAAAAAAAAGGCTTTTAAGGTCTTCTGTTTCCTTCTGATGATATATTTATTGATTCATTGATTCATTGATTTATTGGCATATTGATTTATTGGTTCATTGATTTATTGGCATATTGATTTATTGGCTCATTGATTTATTGGCATATTGATTTATTAAGACATGTCTGAGGTTTCACCAATTTTGGCTGGCGAAAGGCCAGAGTACAGTTCCATAGACAAAGAGTTGGTATCAACCAAGCAAGAATTCACATACATATTATCGGCATCGTTCCCGTTGATAGTAGCCTTTTTACTTCAATTTCTACTACCGGTGACTTCTATATTTGCATGCGGGAAATTGGGCTCGACCGAACTAGCAGCATGCTCGTTGGCTATATGTACGTTCAATATAACGGGTTTATCAGTGTATCAGGGGATGGCTACTTCCTTGGATTCGCTTTGTTCCCAAGCATTTGGTCAAAATAAACCTCATAATGTAGGGTTATATTTCCAAAGATGTTCTCTTATGATGCTTACGGTTACGGTGTTCCCGCTTTCTTTCATCTGGTGGTATTCTGGAGCCATTCTTACCTTTTTGGTTAAAGATGGTGAACTAGCATTAATGTGTCAAGATTTTTTAAGAGTTTCTATTCTTGCAGCTCCAGCTTTGGTTTTCATGGAAACTGGTAAAAGGTTTTTACAAGCACAACACCTTTATAACGTAAGTCTTTATATTTTATTAATTGCATGTCCTTTAAATATCATTCTTAATTGGGTATTGGTTTGGCATCCGACTTTAGGCTTGGGGTTTATTGGTGCATCCTGGTCAATTGTCATTATTTTTTGGTTTATTTGTTTAATGATGCTTTTATATGTTTGTTTCATCGATGGTAAGCAATGTTGGGGTGGGTTTGAGCCTCGTAACGCTTTCTCTAACTGGATCCCGATTCTTCAACTTGCAGTTCCTGGAGTGGTGATGGTAATGGCAGAGTATCTTGCTTTTGAAGTATTAACTATTCTTGCTGCTTACTTTGGCACCGATGCCTTGGCTGCTCAATCGATTTCTTCCACCGTTGGTTCATTATCATTTCAACTTCCCTTTGCTGTTTCAGTAGCTTTTCTGACTCGTATTGGACATTTTGTTGGTCTGAGAAACGTTGATGCTGCCATCACTGTGGTAAGACTATCAATTATTTTTGCAGCCATTGTCGGTATATTCAACTTTAGTTCAATCATCTTGGGTCGTTCAGTTTTTTCGTCAATCTTTACTGATTCTGATCCGGTTAAAAAAATCAGTAATCACATCTTAATCTTAGTGGGCATCAACCAACTTTCAGACTCGGTCAATGTTTTGGCTGCCGGTGTTTTACGTGGTCAAGGCAGACAGCGGATTGGCTCAATTCTAAACTTAACTGCCTACTACCTTGTGGCATTGCCTATTGGCTACATATTAGCTTTCGTCTTTGGCTGGGAGATTTACGGTTTGTGGTGCGGCTTGCTTGTTGGAGTGTTCTTTTTAGCTTCCTCCCAAGTCATTTTAATCTGCAAAAGTAACTGGAATGATATTTTAATAGAAGCCCTTGAAAGACATGCTTGATACTTGTAATCTAACTTAAACTCTGACTTATACGTATATTTTATAGAATTTCGCAATAACTACAATTTTTTTTTTTTTTTGTTTTTTTGTATGAACCTTTGTAGACATCATCGCAAATTTTTTTTTTTATCTTTAACTAGTTAATACGTTCTTTTCTACAACCAGTAATGCCACCTAGAAGAAGATTTGATAAGAAGTCGGCCCAGACTTTCAGTATTGTGAACAGAGCACATGATGACTCTCGTTATTTCGATGAAGATGCCCTGCAACATGTGCTTGTGCCAGTGGGTAAGTCCAAAAAAAATGAAAAAGTACCCCAATTAACAAACGAAAATGCCAAAAAAAGAATATACTCTACTGAAGAGTTGATGTCGAAGCTCAAGCCGGAAGAAGTACAAGCCGTGAGAGCCAACGAAGGGTTGGCTGCCCAATATGGGGTTTATTTTGATGACTCCAAATATGATTATATGCAACATTTGAAACCTATAGGTAAAAATCAGGATGCAGTTTTCATAGAGGCCAATGAGAAAAAGGAAAAACCTAAAATGAAGGTTGAAGACTTGTTCAAAGATCAATTACCGTCAGAAAGTAAGCGTCATGTCGAGTACGATGCGTATGAAAACATTCCTGAGGAATTCAGAGGATTGAATCCTGATCTAGATCCTAGATTAAGAGAAATCTTAGAGGCTTTAGAAGACGAGGCATATCTTATTGACCAAGAAAAGAAGAAAAATGAAGTAGCAGAAGAGGACGATGACGATATATTTGCTACTTTATTACAATCAGGAGAAGTTGATGACGAAGATGATTTTTATTATGGATCTGATGCCGATCAGTATTATGATGATTATGATGAAAACTATGACGAATGGGACTTGGACAACTACGAAGATGAGTATAATGCAAAATACGAATCAGATAATTTCGAAGAACCAGAACATGCATATAATGAAGGGGAAGCTCCTGAAGAGTTGGAGGCTGCAATAAAAGATGATGAAATAGAAGCTCCGGTTTTAAACACTGGATGGGAAAAAGATTTCATGAAGTTCAAAGCACAACTGAAAAACAAACCTAATGATTGGGATTCAGACGATGAATTCGAAGATGAAGAAGATGACGTCTTGGCTGAACTACCTGTTAATGATAAAAAAGTCTCAAAAACAAAATTAAGAAAGAAAAAGGGAGCCATGACCGATACTACCTCGTTTTCCATGACTTCATCTGCATTATTCCGTACCGAGGGCCTCACCCTTCTTGATGATCGTTACGAACAACTTTCCAAAAAATTTGACAAGGAAGACGATGACCAGTATGAGGAGTTTGACATGTCCAAGGAAAGAGGTGACTTGGAAGGCATGTTGGATGATTTCTTAGACAACTACGAATTGGAAAGCGGAGGCCGTAAATTAGTTAAGAAGGACGAAGAGCATAAAAGACTTCAAGAAGCTGCAGACTCGGTCTCCAAAGGTAAAGCCGCAGCAAGAAGACGTAAAATGAAACAAACCTCTGCCCTCGACAAGCTCGGCGGGTCCTTTGGCAACATGAAGATATAATTATATAGGAATACACAAATGCTTATTGTAAGTAATTGCAGCCATAAACAGTAGGTACGGGTCTCGAAGATCATAATGCTCACGTGACCGCTTGTCAAATTGTCTTTTTACGGGGGGCTCCACTTTCAACGAAGAACAAAAAAAAAAAAAAAAAAAAAAAAAAAAAAAAATAAAATAAAATAAAAAAAAAAAAAAAAAAAAAAAAAAAAAATAAAAAAAAAAAAAAAAAAAAAAACAAAAAACCCAAAAATTAACCATAAGACAATATATCAACAATTCTTATCTTAATCCAACCTCCCACTTTCTTTCGTTCTTCACCAGGGTTTGGCTAGAGAGTTTGAAGTGCTTTAGTTTTTTCTGCTAAACCTGTTTCAAGTTGTATAACGTTCAAGATTAGGTTGATTAGATTAGATCGGATTTTAATTGTATTAATATTATCCGTATTTATTTGCTATATTTCCAATAAACGAAGACAAACACCAATGTCTTACCATACTGTGACATCTGTATCCAAGGTGTATGCTGATGTTTTGGCAACGAAACCTCAAGCGTATTGGGATTATGAAAATATTAATATAAAATGGAATGGACAAGAAAACTATGAAATTATTAAAAAATTAGGAAGAGGGAAGTATTCCGAAGTTTTTTTAGGAATAGAGTTAACTAGAGGAGAAAAGGTAGTTATTAAGGTATTAAAACCGGTTAAAAGAAAGAAGATTAAGAGAGAAATATCAATCTTGAAAAATTTAGTTGGTGGACCAAATGTAATTGGTTTATTAGATATTGTGAGAGAACCACAACTGAAAACTCCAAGTTTAATTTTTGAACATATAGATAATATTGATTTCAGAACTTTATACCCTACATTTACTGACTATGATATTAGATACTATATGTATGAGTTATTAAAAGCTTTAGATTTTTCTCATTCAATGGGTATTATGCATAGAGATGTTAAACCTCATAATGTAATGATTGATCATGAACATAAAAAAATTAGATTGATTGATTGGGGGTTAGCTGAATATTACCATCCGGGTACTGAATATAATGTTAGAGTTGCTTCTCGTTATTTTAAAGGTCCAGAATTATTAGTTGATTTCCGACTTTATGATTATTCTTTAGATTTATGGTCTTATGGTTGTATGTTTGCTTCAATGGTTTTCAAAAAAGAACCTTTCTTTCATGGTAAATCAAATACTGATCAATTGGTTCAAATTGTAAGAGTCTTGGGTTCAGATGATTTACATAAATATTTACAAAAATATAACTTGACTCTAAGTGAAGAATACGAAGATTTAGGTTATTACAATAGAAGACCCTGGGTCAGGTTTGTTAATGAAAATAATCAACATTTAGTTTCAGACGAATTCCTCGATTTAATCGATAAATTATTAAGATACGATCATCAAGAAAGATTAACTGCCCAAGAAGCAATGAACCATCCTTATTTTTACCCAATAACTAAGAATCTTTAATCATTCTAATATATTTTTGTCTAATTAACTTGTTATGATAATTCTTTTCAGTTCTTATACCGTATAATATAGTATTTTTCTATCTTATTCTCTGTAGTTTTGAGATGGTGCACTAAGTTAAGTGATTTTTTTTTTTTTTTTCCATGAACTTCTACGTTGTTGAATATATAAATCCTGGGGTTTCACAACTACTTCTACACTTATACTGCTCCACATACCAATCGCTTCCACAATGAGTAAAGTCTTCTTTGATATAACTGCCAATGGTGAGTCTAAGGGCCGCGTTGTTTTTCAACTTTATGATGATATAGTCCCTAAAACTGCTGACAACTTCCGTGCATTATGTACTGGTGAAAAAGGTGTAGGTAAACAAGGTAAACCTCTTTCATATAAAGGGTCTGCTTTTCACCGTGTTATAAAAGATTTCATGTGTCAAGGTGGGGATTTCACCAATGGTAATGGTACTGGTGGTGAATCTATTTATGGTGAAAAATTCGAAGATGAAAATTTCACCAAGATTCATGATCGTCCATTCTTATTATCCATGGCTAATGCCGGTCCAAACACTAATGGTTCTCAGTTTTTCATAACTACAGTTCCAACTCCTCATTTGAATGGTAAACACGTTGTTTTCGGTGAAGTCATCGAAGGTAAATCAGTTGTTCGTCAATTGGAAAGATGTGAAAAGGGTGAACAAGATAAACCAGTTGAAGATTGGGTTATTGCTGATTGCGGTGAGTTGCCAAAAGATTACATTCCTCAATCCAAAGCAGTTGATGATGGAACTGGTGATGTATATGAAGCGTTCATGGTTGATGATGATAAAATCGATGTGAATAAACCAGAAAGTGTTTTCAATGCAGTTAAACACTTGAAACAAATTGGTACAACTTATTTACAAAAAGGGGATTTGAAAGTGGCTTTGGCCAAATATGAAAAGGGTAGCTCTTTCATGGATGAATATTTCCCTGATGACTTAAAGCAAGAAGATATTGATGAATTAAATAAATTAAAAGCCTCCTTGTATTTGAATACCTCTTTGGTTGCATTAAAATTGAAAAATGGTAAGAAGACCGTGAGTGCCGCTAACAACGCCTTGGAATCCGAAGGCATCGATGATAAACTGAAACTGAAAGCATTGTACCGTAAAGGTATGGGCCAATTATTATCTAAAGATGAAGATGGGGCTCAAAAAAGTTTAGAAGAAGCATTGAAATATGCTCCTCAAGACGGTGGTATCTTGAAAGGCTTAAATGATGTTAAAATTAGTAAAAAAAATAGAAAAGAAAAGGAAAAAAAGGCCATGTCTAAGTTCTTTAGTTAGAGCAAGGATTACTAATAATTTATTCTTATAAATACCTAGCAATTAACGTACCCGAAACTATTTCGATCATCATTATGTAGTTGCAAGCCTAAATAGCCAATCATTCTTAAACCGTAACCAAAAAAGAAAAGAGGAAGCCGATATTTTAATTACCGGTTTAGCAAAATGACATTTACCATTTTCTGTCGACTTTGCTCCATTTGCGCAAATTGCTGCTAAAAATTATTCATCAGAAAAGCCTCACTCGGGTCCAGTAGTTTTCGACTGCAAAAGTTGCTTTGTATTACCTGTGAACTGAAGAATTTATATATAAGCTGCATTTGCCATTCATTCGGATTGAAGACTGGTTGTAGACATCATTGTCAATAACATGATTTTAACCATTTTCTTGACCTTGCTTACCTTGGTTGTATCCTACCCAGTGGATAATCCAAATGATCCGTACGCTGATTTGATCCAACCATATACTCCTTCTGGTGGTAACGGAACCGATAATTCAACTGTTCCTGATTATCGTCCTCTTTCCGACTTCGACTACCAATCTCTTCTTGTTGGTTTGAACCAAGAATATATCGAGTTAGATCTTTTCAACTACGGACTTGCTAAGTTTTCAGCAGAAGACTTTGAAGATGCTGGTTTAACATCTGCTGACCGTGACCTTATTCACTTTATGGCAATTCAGGAAGAGGGACATGCCCAGTTGATTTCGAATATGTTGGGGGAATCATCTCCAACTCGTTGTAACTACACTTATCCATTCGAAACCGTTCCTGAATTTGTGTCCTTCACCCAGCAGTTGACTAGATACGGTGAAAGTGGTGTCTACGGATTTTTAAGTCACCTTGATTCGAGAGCTGCCGCTAGTTTATTAACTGAGTCGATCACGACAGAAGCACGTCAACAATTTGCTTTCCGTCAATTTCAAGGATTGAGTGCAATGCCTTATGATTTTATTGTTGGGATTTCGCAATCATTCCAATGGACATTATTAGCCCCCTATATCACCTCATGTCCCGCTCGTAATCCAAAAATTGAATTTGAAAATTTCCCAGCTTTGAAAATTTTAAATGGTCCCGATGCCTTAAGCAACTCTACCGGAGCACGTCCTGCTATTTCCACCGTTAACAATACCTTGACTAAGCCAGGTAGAAGAGTTGAGTTCGCATGGGAAGAGCCTGGCTTGCCAGTTGGCTGGAAACCGGTTAAAGATGCTGTCAATATCAATTACACCAATGCCGGTGAATTTAATGGTAGTACAACCAAACACTTCAATGGAACTAGTATTCTTGATTCTGATTATGACGATGATGAAGCCGAAAAGCTCTATAGAACAACCAGTCTTGCTAAAGGTCCTCCTAGATTTGCTGCATGGCTTTCCCAATTGAATACAACCTATACCGAGCTCCATTTAACTTCTAATAATACTGGTTGGGCCTTGCAGCCAAACGCTACTGTTTTCCCTAATACCAATAACACAATTGTAAATGGTACTGCCTTCGTTGCTTTGGTTGATGAAAAAGTACCAATTACTGCTTTTAATGTTTCTAAGCTTAATGAACACGTTGTGGCTGGTCCTGCAGTATACCAAGCCGGCTAGATAATGCTGAGCAAAGTATTACTTTACATTAATGCTTTATTAAAATACATGAATTAAAATTATGAATTTAGATGTAAATGACCTCTTTTGAGTACAAATATCAATTAACCTATGACGTTTACCTTAAGCCGAGTCGGACCGTAGTTTTGGTGAAGTACAGCGACTTTAGTTCGAAAGTTCAACCAAAAAGTAGTTGCTTTTTCAATGTTCATATTTGGGTATTTCGGGACCAATTCCTGCATATTTTGCAACAAAACTACAAAATTCGCAACCACGTAACAATATATTCAAGTAAATAGATTAGAACTCATTTTTCCTTATACCGAAGTAACCATCTGGTGCAGACGAAGCATCTTTCAAAGAAGTTTTGAATAATCCGGCATCTGTACCAGAATAAGAAACAGAGTTACCCCACCAATTGATGCTCACTTCTTTATATTGAACCGCAAAAAATATAATAATTCCACCTAGAGCTACACCTGCGTCAAGAGCAGAAGATATAACGTAGGTATACTTTTCCCACCAAGCAGTATACTTTTTCTTTATATAATGGTTGAACGCAAAACAGACATAAAAACCAGGGATAAAGTAACTCAAGTTGAATGGGGCATAGTTAAAAAGACCACCTATTATTACAGCAGGTTGGAACCAACGGGTTTGTTTGAAGAAATAATGTCTGATTAAAAGACAGATTATTGCTAAAATGAATCCTATCAAGAAGCAGTAGGGCAATATCGGATATAATTTGTTGAAAACTCGCTTTGGCCCAATAACACCCCAAAACACAGAAGACGAGTAATAAGATGTTTCACTCGGACAAGTGAATTTATTTGGCTGATCTTCGGTACAAATACCTTTTAAATCATAGATTTCCCAGTTAATTACACACAACGAAGCAATTATTTGGAATATAGTACCAAACAACTGACCCCGGAAAACGGCTCTTGGAGGTACTTTGGCGTAATGGGCCATTTTTTGATCATAAACGTATTGCAGTGCTTGACCGGTAATATTATAACCCAAGGCCTTTAAACCCATAAAAGCGTTTGAGTTTCCGGGTAAGGCATAACCAATTATTAATTCCACGAAGACTTCGAGATTGAAGTAATAACCAGTGACGGCGTAAATGACACATAAGGGAATTACAAATACAGCATTTATACCAATCATTAATACAATTCCCCACACTGGAGTATCGGTAGCATAAACTTCTGCTGCTAATACTGCAAAAACAAAAGCGACAATCATTATTACAAAAAAGCACCAATCTGGGACTTCTTTATATTTAAGAATCATTCTTGAATGAGGATCATTGAAATGCTTGAACTCTGAAGACTTGAGATTTTTTATTTCCTTTAAAGATTTAACAGAGTTCCAAAGACCTTTTCTTTCAGTAAAGAATACGTAAGGAATCATAAAGGTGTATAATGCGCAATTTGCACCATAAACCAATAAATTACCAGCAGTTAAATATGGAGGGCCATATTCTTTATATTTTTTAAGATCAAACTTACTCTTGCTTAAAATGGATTTTACCGAGTACAACTCCCCAGTATTTGTATAAACATTATTATCATTAATTGGTAAATAAGCAGTCCACTTATAGTTGCTGTAATACATGGCGACGATAATTATGAATCCAATAAACATACCAATCATCATATTCATATAAGTATAAAATGGAAATGCTAAAGGAAGCCAATAACCAACAAAGTTCCAATCAAATGAAGTGATCGGGTTAAGGCCCAAACCTTGCATTGAGCCAGTTATTGTTGTAAGATTGAAGTTTTCGGGTGCAATCCAAGTCATCCAATTGAAATAACTTAACGCTTGAAAGATAAAATTTGGGAACCATAAATAAACGAAAGAAATTGCAAACAAGAGGAAGAATAGACGGTATCTGGTTATGCTCCAGCCGTTGATAACTTCCTTCTTTTCTTTTGTTAATAAAGCTCTGTTAAGAGCAAGCGTTGGCAAAATTGTTGGCCAAACAGCTCTAACAGGATAAATGACTATCCTTCGAAGTAGTCCAGCAAATCCCAAACCAAATAATTGGGTAGCCAAGGATATTAAAATTTGATAACCAATAGTAATATAAGTGTTACCATAGAAAATTTTCAATTTTTCTACATAAAAATTATAACCAACGTACATACCACCAATTGCAATGTCAAACATAACGGTAGCGAACATTTGCTCTTTGTAGTTCCAAGGCCCAGGGTTTAAAGAATGTCTAGTCCCAAAAATGGTGACCCCCCAATCTGGTAAGATACGTTCAAGGATTAGCCCACTTGGATACATTAACATTTGACAAACCGATGCCGAAATTGAGATGGAAGGATTTCTTCTTGAAAATAATTCATTTACTCCGGTACCAACTAGACACCAAAAAATACCTAATAAGTAGGCTCTGAAAGTTTCACAAGGTAGAGCTGGATCATCACGGGGAGAGCTTATTGCTCTTACTTCTGGATATGGCGAATGGTATTCGTTGAGCGCAGCGTACATTTTTACCTGAAAAACGTAATCATCATAGCACAGATCAACATCACAACCTTCAACCAACTTTTCAATTAATTCATAATCTTCTAAAGGGAAATTAGGATCACCTTCATGGTACTCAAGACAATTTTTCAATATTTCGATTGATTTATCAAGAGACAACTCGACAGTTTTAGCATAAATATATTCGACGTCTTCTATTTTTGAGTCAAGAACATCAGCATGTCCCAATTTCTCGTACAAAACTTGTCTATAGTCTGCCTGGTACGTCGAGTGAGTGAATTCAGTTTTATCTTCGATCTTTTCGTCAGACATTTTTTAAAGGGTAGACAATACCTTAAGTTCCAAAAAAGATTTCCCAGAGTATAAATAATAGACAACGCTCCATCAGCATTATCTGATCGGATCGTATCATCTTTCAAAATAAGCCAATAGAATGTCAAATAGGCAAAAAAGTAATCCTACAGACTCCGAAGGCAAAGTTATCAATTGTCATCATTTTTGTAATAAATTTTTAAAGGAACTTTGTTACATTTTATGGTACCTGGGAATTTCAATTGGCCGTATAGGTGTTAAATATAGTATTATACGGCTATCGGGGTGCGTTTTGTGTATTTTTTTGATTCCCGAGACTCAACAATTTTGACAGATTAAAAGTTAAGAATACGAAGACTTTGTTTCATTAAGAACGAATTGAATTCACCTTTTCTTTCAAATGCCGTGATTTAATGCAGCCGCTCTACATTGTTCATTGGAGTTGACCAGAGAAGTAGGATCTCAGCCAATCGGAGGACGTCTAGAGATTTGCACCTGCCGAGCTTCGTAAATGGATCTTCAATTTCTCCATGATGTCAAGGCTATTGCATTGTAAAATATTCTAATACTTTTGTTGAAAAAAGTACACTATTAAAAAAAAAAAAATCGATGGATCTGATAATCTTACAAGGTTTAAAATGATCAAATGTTCTATTTTTAAAGTATAAACCTATTCAAGCAAAGGTTTTTTAACCCAAATACTATCGAATTGAAGGCCTTTAGAATTGATGAACACTTGAGCAATTGGACACAATTCTTCAGTTAACTCTCTTAATTGATCGAATTGTTCATCGGTGGCATTAGTTTCAACTTCATAAACTACTTTCAAAGTATCAATTTTAAACCCAGGATATTTTTTTGGATCTTTCAAGACAAGAGATAAACTGGAGTCAGTTTGAATATCGGCTTTTCCAATCTTAATACCTAAATCCTCGGAAACTTTTTTAGCAGTAATATTTTGACAGCCAGAAACACTTGAAAACAAATGATGGATTGGATCGGGATGAAGATCAGTTCCCCCTAATTCTTCAAATAAATCATTTTGAATAACGTGGGCCTTACCCCCTCCAAGAGTCTCTAATTTTTGTATATATCCATTTGAGTTACCGCGTAAGCTAAGGGACAATGAACTTTTAACGGTGGTGGACGAAAAGTTTCTAATTAAAACTTTATTAAGTTGTAGTTTCAAAATACTTCTTAACATGTTTTGGTGAGCAAACTACATTCCAAAGAATACTTGGGGGTTATTTATAAGGGTTATTTATAATTTGAAAAGTGTGGTTCATGCTCGTGGATGCTGACTCGAGTCTCTGGACAGTCTTCTTGACTGCCCTATTGGCTGCTTGAATCAACCGTTATTAAGCGAACGGTATGAACCACAGTTAAATGAATTTTCGCATCAATTGAAGTTAAAATTACCTAAATGGTATTAGTAATCTGTCAATGGATTCATGACTCTGCTACTTGATTGGTCATTAGACACTGTGGCATGTAAGAGTTCTATATCGCGTTTCAAAAAAGCTAGTACATAAAAAATTTAAAAGCACTTGTTAAAAGCTTACTCTGAAATTGATTAATCAGTATGAATTATCAAAATAGTGTGAATAAAAAATAGCATGAATTGTCAAAGTAGTATATCAAAATAGTGTGAATAAAGAATAGTATGAATT